AAACCCTGACGCATCAGATTTTCCACAACAGTTAACCCTGAAAATCAGGTTTTTGAACAGGTTCTAGACTGATCGTAAGGGTTGATCAAAACAAAAAATGAGCCCTGGTGCAGACCCACACGCAGCTAGGCGGTAAGGAGACCAGAGCCTCAGATTCGTTTGAGGGTACCCTGTGGACTCAGGGCAGGTTTTAAGAATTCCTATTTTGTCCTGAACTGTCAGGATAGAGCAAGGGTGGGTATGCTGTAGGGTCAGTGCTACAAGTGACATTATCCTGCCAAGTCAGTGCTACTTTTCACTTTATCCTGTGCACTTTGTTAGAAGCTTAGTTTCCCTTGTAATCACATCACACACACACAGACCAATCAGTCAGGCAGAGCAGGGCACAGTAATAATGACTTAAGAGCCCTTATGAAAGTTCTCATTGTTATGGTAAATATTGAACATGCACTTCAGTACCCCTCATCATCATCCTCTGCCTCCACCTGATCATCTTCAGAGGCATCGTCTTCAGCATTGTCCCTTCCACTGTCTACATCATCATCATCACCCTCCTCAACAGCGTGATGATGGTCACGCTTCTCTGCTAGTGACCCCCGGAACCCTGTGCCACTCCTCCTCGATACATCCACAGTTGCTGCCTTTCGCTTGGTGGGTCGCCTCTTCCTGGTGCTGCGCCACAATGCCACAACTTCGCTCCACACCATGTCGTAGTCTAACAAGCTGAGCGTCAGGAGGTCGGCCAGCTTCGCGTCATGCAAGCTGGTCCGGATCCAGCTCTTGATCACGTTTTGGCGCGAAAATCCGCGCTCGCACTCCACCGTGCTGAGAGGCAACACCGCGACGGCCGCCCACAGCCGCACCAGGTTCGGATAGGTCCGCTGCCAGTCCGATGTTGACAATATCGCCCGCAAGCCAGCATGGAACGGCTGCTCCTCCGTTGGCGCCCCGGACAGCACAGATAGGAAAGTGCGCATCTCCTTCCGCACTTCGCGCTTGTTGACACCTGCTTGGTGGGGTGTTAGAAAAAACCATACACGAGGGTTTTGGGTCATCTCTGGCGGTTACGTGGCAGAGTCTACACTGCAATTTACAATTCACACAAGGGTGCAATTTACACTGCAACGTGAAGTGTGTAAACAGACACGGAAACTCACCAGGAAGGATCTCGTCCCTGTCGCGCGCATGGAACATCACCGCCAGCTTCTCCATGTGTCCCTTGCACTCCGCGTCCCTCGCCTCTTTTCCTCGCGGCCATGACTTTGGCATGAAGAGCTTGGCGGCGTTGAGGTTTGACAGGTCGCCAAGCCGAAAGTCGAGGTTGTACAGCAGCTCCGTCGCAAACGAGCGGCACGTCCGAATGCAAGACGGCAGGTCACCGACGCCCTCCGCGTAGCCAGGAATCGGCTCCTCGTGCAGGGTGAACTCATGCTCCCTTGGCATACCGTCGGTGTCCACTCCCTGCACTTTCATGCTCCTACTGCATGCAGCACCGTGCCGAGCAAGGAACGGCGATAGCAGTGCGCTCGACCCAGCACCGAACTGCTGCCCACAGTCAATGTACCGCTCCCTAATAAAAACCTCGAGGCGCCTCATCTGGGAGTGAACCGCCGTCAAGTCCACCTGTGATTGGGTTGAGGGGCAGGGAGGACAGACGACATAAAAGAATGGTAAGTATCAGTTCGTTTGAGACCTCGCTTTTGCAAAATATGTGGCAAATACCTCGCGCCGTTGGAAGAGAAGGTTGAGCATGTTCAGCTCGACGTGTACATCCGCCTGGAAGTACACGTAAAAGTGAAACTTCAGGCTGGTGACCATTTGGTAACAGGTTTTATCCAGCTGCTCGAGGAGGACCACCACCGCCGGAAGCACCTTCACGAACCGCGCAATCGCGTCACCACGCCTTAACCAGCGGACGGCGTGGATGCCTTGCAGCTCCAGGTTTGTCCGGGTGAAGACTGACTGGATCTCCTTGAATGTTGCATGCGAGGTCGAGCTGCGTCTGAGATGCTCCGCCAAAGCACGGATGAGGACGTCAACCATCTGGAGCTCCGGGAGGGCCTCACCAGAGTCCTTTGCGGCAAGTGCCTCCCTGCCAGGCACAAAGCAACAAGGGCGTCAGACAGTCCGAACGCATAAATAAAACAGGCTATGTAAAATTCCCACATGTGTGCGATACATTGGCACGAAACCAGGTGCGGGATGCAGAGTCGAAGCCGCCCAGTGAGACTGTTGGTGCCGCCGAGCATGACTGGAGCGCCGTCGGTGCTGATCCCTGCGATCTTGCCTAGGGGCACGTTGATGCTGTCGAGGTAGCCAACGAGCACTGCATACAGTGATCCTGCGTCACATTTCTCCACGGTCAAGAGCGTCAGAAATTCCGTGGTCACCTCGTGTTCTCTCAAAAACGTGACGAAGACAATCATGTGCTTCCCCCGCACGCGGTCGGTGCTCTCATCACAGCTCAAGCCAATGAAGGGGCTTGAGTCTATGAACTCGCGTTGCTTCGCACGAAGATAAGTCGCTGTAGCTGATACCAGTTCCTGGAACCCGTACCTGCGCAGACACAGTTAGGAAACCCGTACGTTACGGCAACCAAGTTGTCACTTTAAAAATCAGAGGCATCACTTACGTTGTATAATAAGCGCAGTAGCCGTTCTTCGGGAATCCTGGCGTACCGCGGGAAGCAAGGTGCCGTACGAGTTGCACCCACATCTCGATGGGTGCGTCGGTCCTTGTAATGAACAACAGCGTGTCCAGCAGCGACTGCACAGCATCATGCTCGAGGTCAAGCGCCGCCGGGCAGTCGGGGATGCGATGCTGCCCGGTTGCGTTCGCCAACGCCAGCTCCTGGTTGCGAATAGCGTCCTTGTGCTTCGTTGTTCGGTGATGTCGCTGCATGGCTTGCGTCTGCACATCCAGTGCCCCCTCGCCTTTCCCGAAGTTCGTTCCTGTGCCTGCATACTCCATACACACGGTGCACTTCATAGAAGGGAAACCATACTTGGTTTGACAAATGATAAGCCACGGGAAGTCTTCGTTCCACCTCCTCTTGAACATGAGCAGAGCTTCCTGGTACTTCTCCTCAGCGATGTCGGGTATTTCGGTGTCAGAGGAAGCAGTGGGGGCGGTTTCAATAAGAACAGTGGGTTCCGGATCTTGCCTGAAGACGGACAGCACCGTCGTGTTGTCTGATGCACGGACGAAGGACGACTTCGTCTGGTGGTATCGCTGCGCGGAGACCTTCTTGCTCGGAGGTCCCTTCCGGGTTGTCCCAGCGGCCTTCGAGCACTCCCACTGCGTACGAATCGGCGGAGGCAAAGGCTCGTTATCAACCACGACCAGTGCTGCTGTCGAGGGAGAAGGCACGGGCGGCTGAGACGGCGAAGGGATGGTTGCAGCAGCGACAGCGGCAACATCTACCGTGGGTGGTGGCGGCGGCTGAACGGGCCTGGTGCGCAAGAAATTGAGGCCTGTCAACCCTACTGGGCCGACCGTTGGGTCAGGCATGGCGGGTGCTTCACCATCGCCCGCCGGCGATGGGTCAGCCATGGGCGAACAGCAGTGGTCGATTGTGCTATGAGACAAACCTACGACGAGCTAGCAAAATCACGGGGGAAACAAAGATTCTTGGGAGTGAGCCAGGGGTTTGGTAGGCACTCAACAGCAAGATGGAGAGGAAGGAGCGCTCGAGGGAATCAGAAAGATTCCTGCCTGAACCTTGCCATCCAAACCAACCCCGCGTGAACCTACAGTTGGTTTGTGTAAAGATGGCCTCATCGTGTAAAGTGAGCGCGGCGCACTCTCATTGGTCGATATTACAGCAATGCAGGTTGCCACGGTTGGCGCGGCGTGGTTTCCAGCAGAGGCATCAAAGTCAGGGCGTCAATTACGGCGAAAAAAGTAACGCAGTACCTGGTCGGTGGTTGGGTACACTCGGCCCCGGGCGAAATTGGCGCAGATTCAGGACGACTCTCAACACTACACTGAACCATCAGGGCTGAACCTACCGTACATGTCTATACTGAAATTCCAGCACGCAACTTAACACCTATATCCTGATATCTGAGGCCCTGAAGGAGACCTTTCGAAGTTTGGGAAGGCACACTCGCTTGGCTGCTGCTGACGGGCGTCTGACCGCACAGTCTTCAGCAACACTTGCCAAGTCCCTGCCCTACTGCTAAAGCACGCCACAATCTTCAAGTTAGTAGTTTATTCCCGGTCGTGCTCGAGATACGTCATTTAGCAACAGTTGATTGCCAGGTCAACGATGTCTTGCCCTCCCGTCCACCTGGTTTGGACGTGCGATCCGGGGGACCAATGGAGCTGGCAGTTGCAGCGAGCGGCTTCGTCTTGTTGGTACTGTGCACGTACTCTCTTCTCCTACTGTCCGGTTGGAAACGAAATCGCAGACGCGACAGTTTTCACCGCTAGTTCGTTCACGTGCCCCGTATCACACGGTGAATGCCTCCCATTCCACACTCATGTGACAGGCCGAAATTCGAGGGGTACATCACATGCAACTAGTGTACTTTATACGATTTATTATGTTGCCACCATCTCAAAAATGTCAGGTCTATGTCCGGGCGTTAACATCTAAACTTGGGTCGTAAACAATGTATCTACGCCCAATAATTGCCCGGCTATAAATAAGGCAGACTTTAGCCATATTGGGGTCGATAATTGCCAGACCGTTAATTACCCGGGATAGCCCTTATTGGACGTAAATCAGCATGGCGCCAGGGACAGAGTTCTGATAAAAATAGCAGTGAACCAGAGTGCCATTCACAGTTGTTTCTAGTTCTGATAAAAATAGCCAAATCGTCCTTGTTTACATTCAGTCAAATGCCAACACAACTAGGCATGAACTTCCTGAAAACACCCAATCATTAGCTAAAGGTAGCACCCTAATAATAATAATAAAAATAATGTGATTATCAAATTATTGTAGAAAATGAGCATACAATAGAGCAGCCAAACTACAATTAGAAAACCAGGGTTTATGGCAGCAACCCAGCAAACTCGTCCTCAAGCCCTGCGATCACAATACGGACTAACGGGTTTGCTCCCATCTGAAAGCCTGTAGGGGCGGTGTCGCGATAGATGTTATCCCCCAGGGATAACCCATCCTTAACCCAATCAATGATCACCCCCACTTTCAGCTGCACTTCCCTCCTGTTGTTGGAGTCACTGCCATCTAGGGCAGGCGTGTCACGGCTCCCAGCATTTGCCATGGGCCATTCAACCTGCAGGGTACATTTGAAAATATATGGGAAAATGGGGAGCAGGGATAGGGGGGTGTGTTGGAAAAAATCAGGATAGTGAGGGAGAGGTGCATTGCAGAATGGGGAGCAGGGAGAGAGAGGGTGTGCTAGAGCAAGAACTAGATCATTGGCAAGGGAAACAGACAATGCATGGGAAACAAACTCACCACATGGCAAATCGTCTTACACCTGCGACCGCCAAGTCCCTTGCAGAGGGCCATATCAAACGCCTTGTTGGCAAACGGGCGCCCCGTGTCAGGATCGCAGTGCCACTTGCTGCCATAAACGGCTGCAAGCACAGAAATCCGCTTGATGTAAGCACAATACATGTGGAACTCAGGAAACAAGGGCTGGAAGTGCTCGGGGCATGCAACGTTAAAAACGAGGCGCGTACTTACCATCAAAATAGAAAAGGTGCCACTGTTGGACGTTGCGGCGCTGCACTGGCGCCATGTTCTCAGCAGCCAGCATGGGAATCTTCGATTCCCTTACGAACCCGCCTGGCCCATGTGCCCACGTCTTGACCTGCGTGAAGAGGTTGCCCCGAAGCTCGCCGATCTTGTCTTTAAGAATCCTCTCCCGTTCCGGGTGAGAATTATGACAAGGTTGAACGTTTCCTCGGAAACGTTCACCATCTGATAAGTACGGATGAGTTGCGGCCAGAAGTTAATCTCCCTCGGGGGAGCTTCAGCAATGAAGTACAAAACCGCTTGGTTGCACTGTGCCTGCCATGCATGACAAGACGAATATGCAAAGTGCAAGGGAGCACGGGTTGAAGCCAATGTAGAAAGCGCGGGTTGCATAGGATCTGAGTGGGAATGCAGGCTTGCGAAGTACAGGATCAAGGTACAGAAGGTTGCGAGGGTGGGTGGGTGGGAAAACAAGGTTGCGAGCATAGGATCAAGGTACATAAGGTACGGGGGTGGGTGGGGAGGTTGCGAGCGGAACATTGAAGGTATAAACGTAATCTAGGTGGCGGGTATTCAGAATCAATGCGCACAGTTTACTGTGAAAAAGGTGAGCTCGGTAAGCGATTCTGGAAGCTTGGGCGAAGTTTCAAGAGCAGCCGGTCGAGGTGCTGGGAGTCCCGGATGAGCGAGGGGGGCGACAAGCGAGCGAGAGGCGTTTGGCGCGAGCGGCGCAGGAATCGTGGATGTTGCCAGTGATCGTCCGACCGCCACATGTGCGATTGCAGGCGCCATAGCTGAACAGGCCACGTTGTGGCCTCGTGAAGTACTTGCAACGTTGACCTCAGCATTGGGGCTACAGCTCACTGGGGGCAGCGCAGAAGTTGGGGCAGAGTTGCTCGCCCGGAGTAGTTGATTCGCCCGCTGGCTCTCCTCCAGTTGCTGCCAAACGTCCGCCGGTCTCTCCTGCTGCAACTCGACCGTGCGCTGGTGATCAGAAGCTGCAGCCTGCGCTTTGTCAACAACCTGAACAACTTCTGCAAAACACCATCCATTTCACATCCAGGATCACATCATGATCACACGGGGAACATCCACCACGAACACAGCAACGGGTAAGGATTAGTCACACGCTTAAATAAAATTGCAACAACACAAAGTCAGCAAGGAATCGATACCTTAGCAAGTGATCAGCAACGGGTACATGTATCCTCACCTTCCAGTTTTTTCTGGTGTTTACCCTTCCACTTCGAGGTGGGGTTAGAAGCACCGGCATGCATAGCGGCAACAGAACCTTTCCTACGCCGAGGAGAGGGGCGGTCGTCGTTACCGCTGTCGTCCTCGTCTTCGCTAGCGCCAGGTTCATTTTCGTCCACCTCGTCCGCTGCTTCTAACGCTGGCGCGAGTGTGACCGGCAGCTGACCATCGGCAGATCCAATGTCTGTTTGTGGATCTGCCTCAGGCACTAATAGAAGGTTGCGAACTGCGCTAGGCTTGTCCGCATCAGCCTCGTCAGACGAGAGCTGCTGATCGACGAGATCTGGCGTGAGCAGGTTGCCAGACTCGGAACTGGAGGAGATCTTGCGGGTGAACTCCGCACTGACTTGAGACATCAAAAACTGAAGCTGCTCAGGCGACATTCCATGCAGGTTTAGTGTCAAGTTGTCAGGTTGGTTACCGACTGAAACCTCATTCGCAGCTGTAACACTAGCCTTTCGCCCAGGTAATGTAACACCAAGTGTACCTAGCAGGCACCACAACTGGTCTCTGAGGGCGGCCCGTAGTAGGCTCACTTCCAGGAAGGGGATCAGGGCGTGGGGTCACCATACTCGGCAGAAACAAGGACAAGGCAGTGAGTTGAAGTGTCGCACAACCCATTTCTTTAGTCGTTAACATCTGGAAAATGTTGACGGGGAGCTCCTGATTGGCGTACGAAAGTGGTTGAGAGTCGCGACTCATCTGGTCGAGCTTTGTACCTGGCGACACCTTTGCTGTTGCCAGGCGACGCCGTGGGCTCACGAGGAATTGCACAACCGCACTGCGGTCGTTTAACAAAGAGATGACCACGGTATAGCCGCCACGTGGTCTGGGACGATGAAATCCAACAAACGTGGCAACATCCACACTATTATAAGAACACAATATCATGCGCACGACTCTCCCTGGGAACGGCCGAGCGGGGCACACCTCATGAACTCAATGAGGACGATGTGTCGTGATACTAGCACAATAGGTAGTTGAGAGAATAGGACGGCCTAGGCTTAGTAGCTTAGGCCAAGGAGGATCGAGTGAGTTGTACCAAGAGTGTCGAGGAATTTTGGGAATGTGTGTTCACTATAGGTTTGCAAGAACATATAGCATGTGAACAAAGAAGGTGCACCACCGAACAAAGTTTGTAATAACTACACTTACTACAACTACAGGAAATCACATATATAAATTCTGACACTCCCCCATAACTGCCTGCAGCAGGAATTTTTGCAGAACACAACCTGCAGGGGTACACAAGCAGCAGCAGCAGCAGCAGGTAGGTAGGTAGGTAGTACAGCAGCAAAGGTACAGCAAGCATTCCTGCCATCTCCTCACCCTCCCCCTCCCCCTCCCCCCCACACTGCTGTAGAAGCAGCAGAGGGGGGAAGAGAGGAGAGGTGGAGGGACGGCTGCTGGATGGTCTCACACCCGCCACCCCAGTGCCACTCCCCCAGCTCCCCCACACCCTCACACCCTCCCCCCAGCGGCAACTGCAGCAGTGGGAAAGAAAGGAGGAGGAGGGGAAGGGAAGTTGGTCTCACACCCGCCATCCCAGTGCGACTCCCCCAGCTCCCCCACACCCTCACACCCTCCCCCTAGCGGCAGTTGCAGCAGTGGGAAAGAAAGGAGGAGGAGGGGAAGGGAAGCACACCACCCATCACCCCAACACCCGCCACCCCCATACCCTCCCCCCCACGGCTGCAGGGAAACGAAGGAGGAGGGGGTGGGCGGGGAGAAAGCCACAGAGCGGCTACAGATGGTCGGCGCGGGTAGGTCAGGGGCGGCTGCAGGGAGTGCTGGCGCGGGGTGAGGCAGAGGCGGCTGCACCGAGTGCAGGAGCGAGGGCGGCTGCTCCAAGGGCAGGCGCCGGGTTGTGCAGGGGCGGCTGCAGCGAGTGCAGGCGCGAGTGAGACAGGGACACCGCCGAGTGCGCCAGGGGCGGGTACGCGGCGGCTTTGGTAGGTAGGTAGTTTAGGGCACCGTCGCATGCCACGGGGCGCACGACGGGCAGGGCACCGTCGCGTGCCACGGGGCGCAGGACGGGCAGGTTTAGGGCACTGTCGTGTGCCACGGGGCGCGCGACGGCCAGAGAAGGTGTCACTCGCCATCCGAGGGCGGGACAGAATGAAAATCGCCACGCGCCCTAGGCGCGCGACCGGAAAAGAACAGCAGCGGAAGCATAAGGCGGGCCCACAGGCCAGGACGAAACATGCTCTGAATCCATGTCGTGATACTAGCACAATAGGTAGTTGAGAGAATAGGACGGCCTAGGCTTAGTAGCCTAGGCCAAGGAGGATCGAGTGAGTTGTACCAAGAGTGTCGAGGAATTTTGGAAATGTATGTTCACTATAGGTTTGCAAGAACATATAGCATATGAACAAAGAAGGTGCACCACCTAACAAAGTTTGTAATAACTACACTAACTACAGCTATAGGCAATTACATATATAAATTCTGACACGCTGCTGCAGCGATGGGTGGTGTGGCGGACGAGGGTATTAGGACGGGGGTGGCGCTGGGAGATGCATTTGAGGGGGCGTTGTTCGACGAAGACCCAGAGGCGGTGAAGATGGAGTGATTGTGGAGTGAAGTTGTTTGCCTGTTGTACATGGAGTAGGTATACATACTTTTTGTCAATTCATGATATAGTAGATTAGGTGATACCTACTTTGTTACGCCATGCATGATATAGTCTATTTGGGCGTTGGGTTCATGTAGATTGTCTAACGAATACAAACGGCTCTGCGCTTGTGTGACAGCCATATTTGCAAAGGCAGTTGAATGGGTGATGTGGATGGGTAGGATCGCGAGGGATACAATGAGTGGTCGCACGCGTGTCTTGGGATCGGTGATGCAACAGTATACCGTCTCTGATTGGCTGACAAGATTGCGGACCTGCGCACGCCCTTTGGTGATGGAGACGTTACATCCTGTGCTCATATCTGCAAATTGAGGAAGTTAGAACGAAAATAAAATGACTATGAACGAAGTGAGTACAAATAGGAAACCCTAGTTGGGTTGTACCCCCTATGGGATACCCCACTATAGCCTACACAAATAAGCAAGCTATAATATTCTGACACACCACCATAGGCAAAGTGGGGGAGAACAAGGGGTCACAAGAGCAGTCAAGCAAAGCAAAACAAAGCTCAGGGTGGATCACAAAGTCACCACACATTCCGAGCACAAGTTCAAGGGCCACAAGGCTAGTTCACATGCAAGAGCATATATAGAGATATACAAGAGTCAAGCAAGCAAGAACAAGAGTATATATAGGTCAAGGTACAAGCAAGGTCAAGAAGTGAGCAAGTGAGCCAAGACAGGCACAAGACCCAGCTGCGTGCAGCAACGCTGATGATCACAAGGCGCAAGTGCCTTGGTGAAGACATCAGCAGTGTTGGCCTCAGATGCCACGTACGCAAGTCGCAACTGTCCACGCTGCTGTAGCTCACGGGTCTGAAAGTAGCGGAGAGCAATGTGCTTTGTCCTGTGCTCCAGTCGCTGCTCTCGACACAAGGCCAACATGGCCTTGTTGTCTACGTACAGGACTGGAGGAGAACGAGGCGGCTCTCCTAGGTCGGTCAGCAGGTAGGTGAGCCAGCGAAGCTCCTGAGCAGCCATAGCCCCGGCGTAGATCTCAGCCTCACAACTGGAGCCAAGAACAGAAGACGAGCGGGTAGCCCGCCACGAAACAGAGCCGGAACCAAGGCTGAAGGTGTAACCCTGTGACGACCGCTGCGTAGCCTGGTCGTCAGCCCAAGAAGCGTCCGCGTGCCCAGTGAGTACCACTGGACTTCGCCCTCCAAGCACTAGCCCCATGCCCGACGTACTGCACAAGTAGCGCAACACCCTCTTTGCTGCAGCCATGTGCTCTGGTCGGTGTCTCCCAGGAGCAACATAGCGTGCGAGAATGCTAAGAGGGTATGCAAGGTCAGGTCGTGTGCAGGTCATCAGGTACATGAGGCAGCCAACAAGCTCTGCATACGGACCACTCGACTCTACGGACTCATCCGAAGGCAGAGCTGAGAGCGAGTGGCGAGTAGGCAGAGGAGTGGCCTGAGGCGAGGAGTACGTGAAGCCGAAGCGCTGAAGGACCTGCTGCACCATGTGTGACTGAGTCAAGGTAATGGTGCGGCGTGCTCTGTCCCGGGTGATCTGCAAGCCAAGGTAGCTGCGCAGTTCACCCAGGTCAGTGCACGTGTGTCTCTTCTGCAGCTCGGACTTCACGTAGGCGAGTCCAGCAGTGTCAGCTGTGGCAAAGACCAAGTCGTCGACGTACACGAGGATGTAGAACGGCGGCAGAGAAGTGTCGGTGCGCAGAAACAGCGACGGGTCGGCAGTAGAAGGAGCAAACCCAAGAGCCGCAAGCGTAGTCCTCAGTGTGTCGTGCCACTCACGTGGCGCCTGGCGGAGACCGTAGACTGGACGCCGGAGACTCCACTGGGTACCAGGAGGGAAAGACCCAGTGAAGCCAGGTGGGCGACGCAGCCAGATCTCCTCGTGCAGGCTGCCCTGCAAGAAAGCAGTGCTGAAGTCGAGAGAGTGCAGCTCGTAGTCACGGTGAGCAGCAACGTGCAGCAGTACCCGAAGAGTGGTCATCTTCGGGGTAGGAGAGAAGGTCTGAAAGTAGTCAACTCCCTGCTTTTGGCGCATGTTCGCCATCACGGAGTTTCCATGTTCTCTGATGTGACTCGCATGTGTTGCTTGATCATTGCGCTCAGGTGTGGCTAGTGCGGCCGGTGGTGCATCGCAAGTCTCGCCGAATGGGGCGGTCGCGTCTAGCGTCGGTGCGGGCGATGAGGATGTGGGTAGCGATGGCGAAGGGGAGGCTGCGCCTGTCCGATCCAAGGCTGTTGCCTCCGTTATGGCCGAAGAGCCTAGCGCGGCAAAAGTAAAGGCTGCGGCGTCTCCGCCTAAACCGGTGGCTGACAACCCCTTTGAGGCAATGCCCTGCGCATCTGCGCAACCGGCAAGTGGATCTCGTCGGGATGAGACGGTTGCCGATGACGCCGTCGTGATGAGCCGCGCCGAGCTCGAGGCGCTGAAGACGGCGAGAGACGAGGGCGAGCGTCGGATTGCGCGGCTGGAGGCGCTGCTGCTGGCCATAAACGAGAGGGAAACGCAGAACAAGAGGTCGAGGAGTCTGAGGGAGAAACGGGCGCAAGGAGATGCGCAGCCGCGCAAGCGCAGGTGGGTCGAATCGGGCTCGGAGGACGCGACATCGGAGGAGGGAGAGGAAGAAGATGCAGAGGCGGAGCTAGTGAGGGCACGCCGTGTGGTCCGGCGGCGCCACATGACAGTGTCGAGCTCACCCATACTTCAGGAGGCATTTGATTTCCTGCCGTCCGGCAAAGCATGGAAGGTGAGCGCCCTAGGACATGGGGACACATACTCAAAAATATGCATTGCGGGTGGTCTAATGTCTGCCGCGCTGCTGTTTGTGCGTTCTTGCCCACTTGGAAACCTTGGTGTGTGCTGTGTCGTAGACATGGCAGAGAAAGTGCGACCATGTGCGGGAGTTCCTGTTCATCGAGCGAGCCAATGATGTCATGACCTTTTACCCAAGCAGCCACGACAAGACGCTCGGATTATGCTGTGTCACACCACGATTGACGATGAATTATGCGGGGCTCGCACAGGCGGCCGACAAGGCGCGATGCGCTGACCTGAACAAGGCACTCAGCCAGTGGAAGACAGAGGTGACAGGCCGCGTTCGAGACATTGCGCTGCCGCGCATTGGCCTATGGCGCAACGAGCGAGACAGGAAAACCCCGTGGGCATGCAAGAAGCGCAGAGAGGCGGCCGAAGTTCATATTCGGTATCGTGTGCTGGATGACGTGAACAGTATGCGGCGGGGTGTCACCATCCAGGGTTCGTGTGTGTAGATCAGCTGACGGTGTGTTACGTTGTACATGTGTGCGGGCAGAAGATCTGACGTTGTCAACCTGGAGCGAGAGCAGGACTGGAATGATCTTTGCGTCGGGAGCGTTCACGGCGTGTGCCGTGACCGCCTTCCAGCCCAAGAAGGTCACGGGAGCGGTGACCGTGAAACTGTACCAGATGGCGTGGCTCGAGCATGTGGTGAGTTGCATCTCAATCCCCGTTCAGCCCACCCGTGCGCGGGAGTGATGTGTGTGTGCGATATGTTTGTTGTTTCACGTAGGTTACCGACACGGTTCTTAACTGGGACAAGCGCAAGGCCCGCCTATCAAACTCTGCTGGTGGCAACGCGGAGGTGGTGAACGGCCTCCACCAGGTCGCGGAGGGGGCACTGGCGCAGGCGATCCAAGACTTCAAGCCCAAGTACGATGCTGATGCCCAGGCGTGGGTATGGGGGGAGCACGAGCTGATGCTGTCCTCGTGCGGGCTAGAGCACTTGATTCCAGGCCGTTACGCGCAGAGGGCGCCAATCGTGGAAGATGGTGGATCGGTTTCTCTGGGCACTGACTGAAGTTGGTAGTGAGGCGTCCCTAAACCCTGTACATGGTCATGGGCTTCCACTCTTTGTATTTCAATTATGTTAGAAGGATATACGTTGTTAGCGTTCGACGAGGTGGAGATGTAGTAAGACGGCGTTGGGCGGTAGTGTGTGGACATAATTGGCGACGGTGTGTTGTGTAGCAACCCGGGTGTGATGTGTGCGATGTTCTGGTGTGTTGCGGCATTGAATAAATCTCTTGTAAGCGCGCATAATTGTGTGGCATAACGTGGTGTGCTATACGCGCGGAAGCAGCGCGTAAAGCTACCAATAACGCGCATAATTCGGCAGTAAACGGATACCTTGCTGCGTCGCGATCGGGCGGTGGTACGTCGGCGCGCAGCGGTGGGATCGACGGTTGGTATCCATGGCGCGAATACCGCCGTCTAGTTGAGATGAAGCCAGGATGCATGCGTGACGCGTGTGTGCAAAGTGGCACATTGGGTGTACGAGGCGTGGGTAACCTTGCGGCAAAGTATCCGGCAGTGTTCGGAGTGCGCGCTGATTGGGTGGCGTGTGAGGAGGGTGCGGAAAACAGTGGGGTTGCGATGGAGCGAAATACGCGTGCGACGGCGGTTGGAGCCAGTCCCGGCATCCAGTGATGTCACTGCGTTACGCTCTACCGCGACTTGATTGGATCTGGAGGTGGTGTGCGGAACAAGCGGCCCAACAGTGTGCTCCGTGACGCGCACGGTAGTGTTCGATGTCGTGCAGAGATTGGGCGTTGTCAGGTTCGCGAATGCGCGCTAGTGGTGCACGAAGGTGTCCGCGTATGCATTAAAGTGGTGGACGAAGCAGGGTTACCATGCCGTGTGCCAGTAGATAGCACACACGTGCTGGAGCCTGGTTGGTGTACGTTTCATGGCCTACAGCGTACGGGATCAGATCCGAGTACGGTTCTCGTTGCCACGGTGGCGAAGTGTTATAACTGATCGGTGGCAACATGGAGGTGATCTTTCGGCAACATGCACGCAACTGCACGGCAGGCTGTTAGTGACTTGAAGTTGGGTGGAATGTTGTGGAATTGTGGCTGCAGGTTTGCAGGATTGTTGCAAGAGAGTTGCGGAAAAGTTGCGGAAGGGCAACTTTTTTGCAAGAACTTCCCAATCCGCATTTCTGCAATATTTGACCAAAACTGGAAAGTTGCAAAACCAAGGTATCCAAAAAGTATCCTTTTTGCAACATTCCCGCAGCTTTATGGCAAGCCCCTTTTTCGCGATGATTGCCTGGAGATTATACTCCGCACTCACTCACGCTGTCATTGCCTCCCGCACTGGGTGGGCACGCGGTGCTGCTGCCCCACGCGCTGCAGTGCGGCACGAAGCAGTGGGGCGAGCTGGGGAGGAGCGGTCAGCTCAAGAGGAACAACAAGTCGTGCTGTAACCGTTACATCTTCCTCCGGAGGTACCCCTGCATGCCACAATCTTGATTTTCTGAATCCAGGTGTCTTGATACCCCTGAGCATTTCTCACACCCCTTCTCTCCTGTGGCCTGCTAGGTGATGGCAGGAAGTTCACAGACCGCTTTCAACAAAACTTCCTGCAAAAGCACCTGGGAGCTGCTGCACAACCCCAGAATATTACGTTCAACTGATACAGTCAGCCAGTGCTCTGCCATGATGTAAAGCACCACCAGCAGCAGCAGCGCTCGGAGGGCGTGGGAGCAGCAGCCCTGGCGTTCGGAGGGCTGTCGTATGAGGAGTGCGTGACGGCGTTCCTCGCCCCCCACGCTCGCTGCTGCCTCCCACCCGCCCCGCCCAACCTCTCATCCCTCGCCACCCTTCCTCCTGCTTCCCAGGCTCCTCCTGCTGTTTCCCAAGGCGCCACCTTCTCTGCTGTGGCTGATTGTACCTACGAGTTTCCCTTCGCCCAGGATGCTTTTCCCGTTGCTGCTTCCTCCAACACCGCTGCTCTGTGTCGGGCAGTGAAGCGACCAAGAGAAGATTGCCCCGAGGTGGGGGCACAAAAACCGCTGCTGGGACGCGACAGCCAGTTGCTGCAAGGTGGGGTGGTGCAAGGCGGGACGGTGCGAGGAGGGATGGTGCAAGGTGGAATGGTGTGTGGCACGGAAAGCCGGCATCAGTCGGTGGCAGAGCAGTTCCAGCATCAAGGGGCGAGCAGGCGCGAGCAGCCTTCCAGTGAAGCGAGCAAGAGAGGACTGCCCCGGGCATGAGGTAGACGAAGCGGGGCTAGTTGTTGGTGGAGGTGAGAGCGGGGTGGTGCGCAGCAGGAAGCGGCAGGCTCAGTAAGTGGCAGAGCAGTTCCAGCAGCAGGGGGCGAGCAGGCACGTGCAGATCGAGGAAGCAGCCCTTCTAGATGCTCTGCTGGAAGAGGAGCATCGCAAGCTGGAGTGGGAGAGCGCCCTCCCAAATGATGTGCTGCTGGGGGTCAGCAGTCTCGATGCTGTGGGTTTCAGCAGCCTCGATGCGGTGGGGTTCACCACACCGTGTGCACCAGAACCAGCGCCGCTGCCCACCCCACTCGCTGCTGCACTGGCTACTTCCGTTCCTGTGCGGATGGGCAGCAGCACTGGAGGGACGCTCGTTGTGAGTAGTTGCACCCAACCAGAGCTGGACACGTGCAGCGTGGCGCATGATGATGTTGCTCTTTCTTCCGACATGCCCGTGGATCCCCTGTTGCTGTCTGGACACGCTCCCACCGTCCCCCTATTACCACACGGGCAGCTCGTCCGTGTGCCCTGGGCGAGTAGGTCCCAGGGACGGCTGCTGGCAGGCACAGGTGGTGGTGGGGCAGGTCTGGAAGAGTGGGCGTTGGAGCAGGGGGGGAGCACGGAGGGAGGTGCTCAAGCGCACGGGGATCATCGGCAGCTGCAGCCCTTGCCACAGCCTCTGCCACAGCCTCTGCCACATCCTCTGCCACAACCTCTGCCACAGCCTTTGCCACAGCCCCTGCCACAGCCCCTGCCACATCCACTGACACATCCACTAACACAGCCACGGACACAGCCACTGTTCCAGACGCCCTTGCTGTCAGCCCTTTCTCGCCAGCCAGGGACCCCTGGCTTCATCGGTGCACTGTACACGCCCTCGAACCCAAGGGGCTTGCACACGCACGCTCCCATTCAGCCCTGCCATGCCAAGCTGCCCTTGGCCGCCTGTGCTTTACCAGCTCTCAAGATCCTGGCGTTACCTCGGCTTGGCATGGCCAATGCTCTGGAAGGTGGTGGAGCTGCACTACATGCCACAGTAGGCCATGGGCTCAACTCGGATGTGCACGCCTTGGCTAAATTTGATGCGCTTGGAGGAACAACCAAGTTGAAGTTTGGAAATAATTGGAATGGGGCCACGATTGACCACATCAAGGAATTGCATGAATCCTTTGGTTCCCCAGGTCCTGCCATGCCTGATAGTGGGATGTCTCCATCCCAAGATATACTTATCTAGAGTCTTTGGGGTCATTCTAACCAGGCTTCTGAGATTTCACCGAGCTTATTAGAAGCCATGATGCTCTGTTCATCACACACAAACCTGGAGCTCAAATGAGAGTTTGTTGGACTTTGATTTGTATATTTTCAAGTGTAACACCTGTTAATGTCCGCGTCGCATCCTCGATTTTAGCCTCCCATTTTAGTAACTGTCGAGCAAAGAAATTGTCGAGCGGAGGCAAGGACTTGCTGCTCGACCCACTCGCATAACCTGGAAGCACATGACCATGAACCTATCCGCTCGAGTCGCTCACCGTCCGTGAGGCTCTGACGGCTCCGATCTAACGGTCCTCTTGAATCCTTATCCATAGCATCAATGTTCCTCAGCTCTGCGTTTCACAGCGTCGGCTCTCACTCGCTCTGCATCATGAATTTCTCGTCCTCATCTGGATCCATACTAGCCGTTTCAGCTCGCTGCAAAGGACATGGCAGCCATTCCATCCCGTTCGTCATAACCACGCGTGACCAAGTACTGGCAGCAGGATCGCGTCAGCTCGGATGTGTCAATCAGGGCGCGTGCCGTTCACCCCAGCTTTCACCAAGTCGGATGAATGAACTCTCGAGGCGAAGGTTTGCAGCCCGCTGCTCCGCATGGTTGCGGACGGACTCTCGTGAAAGTTGAGGTTCATTTGTCGGACCCGGCCATCGGGTCTGTTCATCGCCGCGGTCTGGTGAGTATGTCGTATGTCGGAGGAAGGATAGGAGCCACCGGGGATGTAGTGCCTGCGACCCTACACAAGGGTTCAACAGGTCACCGCTGCGCCTCTGAACAACCCCCGTGTTGGCTCAGTGGTCTAGCAACGCGTTCTAGCAGCAGTACTAGGGTTCGTACCACCATCTTCTCATTGGCCGTGCGTTCTGCGTCCACTCCGTTCTTGCTCTTCAATCTTACGTTCCATTCGGAACTTGCCAGGCTTTGGGGCATAGCCTTCGTGTGAAGAGATTCGGGTTGAAGGATGAGCTGCCGTGTCTTGCAAGGCAATGACCTTATAGCAAGCATGCGATTCGCTTCTCGCGTGACTCCGTATTAATCGAGGTGACTTTTGAGTCGACTCAAAGGTCACCTCATGGCAGGCATGAGATTCGCTCCTCGTGTGACTCCGTTCCAATTGGCCGCTCTTACGTTTGCTGGGTTGTCATTTGATGAGTGTTTGTCTCACCCAAGTTGAGGGTGAGTGGCTTGGGGTGGGATGGGATAGGAGATTTGAAATGGAGAGGAGTAGGTAGGGGTGGGATGGGGTGGTATGCGATAATTTGTCGGAGCCAGTGCTGCTGTGTCCGATGCCACTGCTGCCTTGTGCAAAGGTGGTCAGGGGAGTGACCTGCCCTGGCCCTGCTGACGTGATGAGGACAGAACCGCTGTGCACCAGCTCTGCTGCTCCCAGCCGACGAAACAAGCGACCTAGGGAGGGCTGCACTGGCCTTGCCATGGAACCGCGGGTCAGAGGCTGCACAATGCAGCGCCCACGTTCACAATCACTGGATAGTAGTGGCTGTGCACAGCAGCGGAAGAGGTGCCGAGGGCACCCGGCATTGTCTCTGCCTGTTGGGTCAGAGATTGCCCTGTCAGACGATGTGCACCGGGGATTATGGTGACTGCGCTGGTGGCATGAGCGCACACTGCCACTGCCACTGCCTCTTCCCTCGCAACTCCCTGCTCTGGCTGGCTCGTTCCCCAGGGGAATCAGCAGGTGCATTTGGAGGTGCATTAAAGGACCTCGGCTGACACGAAGTCCCCTAACATGCAAGCACTAGTTGAGCCCAATGCATCACTGTGGCATAGAAAGAGAGCTGCGTGCTGCTCTCTTGCTCCTCACACGCCCGTCTCTCCCCTCTGTCTGCCTGGGTCTGCCTCCCACCTGTCATGCGCTGCGGCACTGTGTGCTCCTGCCGCCTGCCTGCCCCTGGGGCATCGCTTTGGGCAGGGAACGAAAGCACTGTGAAAGGGTTTACTTACTGGCGCACGGGAAACAAACGATACGGCTTACAGATAATACAGGCTTGCGAGATGCACCAGCAAGAAAAACATAGCATGATTTGATCACAACCGATAGACTCGATCAAGTCTGTCGTTTGTTTGTTTTTATGGGCTACATGTCCTGCCCAATTCTATGTAGCATAAGCTTGTGATACTTGCTTTAAATGTACACCCTCTTTCTCTGGAGGAGCTGGGCCTGAAGGTTCTTATTTTTTGTTCCGTCAGAATCGTCCTGCCAGACCTAACGAAGCTGCTCGTTTCTGCGTGGGTGACATCACATCAGGCTTTCAAAAATTCAAAAGATGCCTTTTCACTTCCATTTCCTTTCCGTGCCCGTGACCATCGTGGTGCCCGTTAAATAGGGCCAAGAGTCCGTCATATCCAGAATCACTAATGCCGAATATCCCGAAGGTGCAGAGCTTACATGTGACCCCTTTGGAGACCATGCAACCTGACGACGTGAGAATCTCGTATTCATTCCGACAAGGCATGACGTGAGCCGTCTTTACATTCTGAACAACTATGTTTGTATGGTCGCTCACAGTCGATGAGAGCATTGCGGTGCATATCGCGAGGTATGCCCTTGGGCGATCAGTACCCCGCGTTCGAACCTTGGCATGATGTTCCGCTTATTGTATCGTTGTGTTATCATGGCTTTGAAGCTCACTGGTGGAGAGACGGAGCTTGGTACAATGGTGGTACAATGGCTGCAGCAGCTGCCTCGCTGAAGTTCACTGCCACCCCAAAGCACACTCAACGAGTTTACAGGTGAACATCCCCTTCCAATCTTCCCTTTTCCACAGCCCCCTTGCTTTGCTCCTCCACCTCGCTTCATCCCTCCTTTCTAACTCCTTCATCCCCCCTCCTTTTTCCCTCCTCTTCATCCCCCTTCGTGTCTTCCCCCATTCCCGTTGTCCCCCTGTCCTTCCGACATCTTTCTGGTCGTGAGCATAGCAGCATGGCGGAGTTGGTCACAAGACGCAGCTGCTGCGGGTGCTGGAAGGGGTGGACGGAAAAAAGAGTCGGCTGCAGTGGAGATGCGCGGGAAAGAAGGGCGAGTAGCATTGGAAGGTAGGGATAGCTAAGAGCAGTGGGGGATAGATGGGAGGATCTGAGAGCATCGAGGAAGAAAGGGGAGCTGGGAGCAGTGAGGGGAAGGAGGGGGAGCTGGGAGCAGTGAGGAAGCTGAGGGAGCTGGGAGCATTGGGAAGGAGGTGCGTTGGAGTCAGATGTTAAGTGACGAGGTGAGGGTGGGTGGCGTGGGGTGAGATGCATAATTTGGGACAGAGATGAGTATTACAGAGTGGATCCATGGAGCAGGCTGGGATTGCTGGGTTTGTGTTGGGATGGGAAGGCCAAGAAGCATAGCGGGTTGTTGGGCACGTAAGCATCTCTTGTGACTTAGTATCCCATTTCCCTGAACCTGGACTGGATGCAGGGAAAGGAGCTCAATCACCTGACCATTATATGTAGTGGGTTCGTACAAATGTGGTTAGCCAACTTTTCGTGAATGTTGAGATTGTTGTGATCGCGAAGGGTCATGGTGCCGTATTGTGGATGACTGGGAATCTGTTGGGCTGAAAGCCCCTTTACATCAACCTCCGAGGGTTGACTCGCTGGTGCCTCGATATGCGATGCTTCGCTTGTGTCTTGGTGTTTCGACACGACAGAGGCGCTTAGGATTATTTGTTCCCAACACTCCCCTTCGCTTCTGGAGTGTCGCTGATGGTGACGTGGCTTTGTCCAGTCAGCAGCATGCAGTACTCGAACTTCTGTTTTCCGAGCATCTTGGTTAAGTAGTCAGCTGCCATCTCGGACGTAGGACAGTAGGTTACTTCAATTTTCCCCTTCTCGATCTCGTCTTTCACGAAGAAATATCGAAGAGCGATATGCTTCGTTCTGTTCGCGAATCCGCTTTTTTTGGCAATGCGAATCGCAGATTGGTTGTCGCAGAACAGAGTGAAGTTGGGTAACTCGGCTAACTTTGCTTCTTCCAGCAGCTCGCGAAGATAGAGTCCTTCCTTGGTGGCTGAGCAGAGTGCAACATATTCTGCTTCAGCTGACGAGAGAGTGATTAGTTCTTGCTTGCTGGATTGCCAGGAGATCGGTCCGATAGGTTCGAGGCGGTAGATGTAGCCAGTGCGGGAGCGCCTATTGTCTGAGTCGCCAGCGAGATCAGCGTCGACATAGCCGATTAATTTCGTCGGTGTAGTTGTGTTCTTGTAGTATGTCAGACCGATCCTTGAGGTGCTGACGAAGAAGTGGAGAGCGCGGTCGAGCTCCGCCAGGTGTTCTGCTTCAGGTCTTTTGAGGTAGGTGGCGAGTTGACTTGCGGAGTAGGATAGATCTGGGCGGCAGGTGACGGCTGCGAAGAGAAGGCAGCCCAACTTTCTCTGGTAGTCGCGTATCCCGGCGGATTTGAGTAGAGAGGATCCTTCATTGTGGTTTCCTGTCGTGTAGCGGTAGGGCTTAGAGATGGTGGTAGGTGTGAGCACGAAGCATTTGGCGATGGTGTCGGCGTATTTAGCAGCGTTGAGGTAGATCGCGCCTTCTTCCTCCCGAATGTTTAGGCCGAGATACTGTGTGACGGTAGAGGAGACCGTGAGTGTGAGGTCCCTCTATAGCTCCCCTTCGAACCAGGTGGTGATGTCGTCAGTAGAGCCGATGTAGAGTAAGTCGTCTACGTAGACGATCAGCAGAATGTAGTCGGTGTCTTTGGTGAGTAGGTACATCCCTTGGTCGTGAGGCAATTGGCGGAATCCGATGCGACAGAGGCGAGCGTGAAGG